GCTCAGCCTCTTCTCCAGAGCTCCAGGAGAGCTGGTAGGGCCAGAGAGAAGGGCAGAACCTGACTGTACCCAGCACAGCCCTTCTCCCAGCTGCACACAAGGCTGGTCTGCTCCTCTCCCCACTAAAGCCAGGAGTAATTAGCTGTGCTGTGGCAATATAATGAACAGTGGGGCTGGATTTGCTGGGGAAAGCCTCCCTCAGCACACAGGAGACATCTTAATTAGCCTGATTGGGCCACTACATGGTTGATGGGGAGATGCTGGAATGTTGTTTTTATTTTTTTTCCTTTTACTCTGAGCCTGAGTGTCAGGAAAAGGGGAGGGGAGGGGGGGTTCATTAAAATCCTCCCAAGAAAGACACATGATTTATTTCTCACGGAACAATCGATGTTTCCCATGCTGCAGAAAGGCTGAATATTAATTACAGCAAATGAGCCCTTTCTCATTGAGCTGCCAGTGTTTGTTCTGAGACCTGAGCCCCCCAGTACTGACTGGGGGCTGTGGCTGGCACAGCCTGGGAGCAAATGTTCATGTGCTTTCTTTAGTGGCAGCAGTTGGCTGAGGAAAAATATCTGGATCTGAATGAAAGCAAAGGGCTTGTTCTCACTCTCAGAGGTGACATTTTACTCTTTTCTTTTTCTTCTCCAATAGTTCCTGTGTTGATAACATAACAAATGTACAAGTCCAGAGCACTTGAAGGTCTAAGATGAAATCCTAGCTGGAATCTAGGTGGCTGTAACGAGTTGACCTTTAAGGAAAACAAAAGTGGGAGGGAGTTAAGTCCCCGAAAGGTTTTGTGCAAATTGAAATTTAGGTCTTAATTCACAAGCTGAGAGGAAGGAGGACAGGGAGCCCTGATGTGAACAGTCTGCTCCTTTCACCATCTCTTTCAATTTCATGGTGGGAGGGACCTGGCTGCTGGAGAAGGTGCACCTCCAAGAGCAAAGCTCCTAAAGGAGTAAGTCAATAAGAACTTTTAGAAACTCTCATCAGTGATAACTTGTGTTAACCCACTGTTTCCATCCCTCTGCCTATCCCTATTGAGTCCTCTGTGCCAAAATGTGCATGAAAATGTTAGAATTTGCTTTTCTGTGTTCAAGCCCCATGGGAGAAGGGGGTAGAGGATTGGAGGCTGGAGTGGGACGTGGGTGTGAGACATCCTGCTCCTGGATGGGGCAGGAGCCTTCCTTGCTGTGGCTGCCTAAGGAGAGCTCTGCTCTCTGCCCTGAAGTGTCTGGTGGGGCAGGGAATGGCAGATCAGTGTTTCTGAGCTGCTGTGCTTACAGCACCATGTGTAGGGAGATAATTGTAAGAGCTCCTCCAGACTCAGCAAAGGCAACTGAGTAGTAACTAAACACCAGAATAATTAAATGGATGCCACTGACTCTCCGGCTGCTTACTGTGTGAGTGGAAACCTGCAGGGGACACAAGAGCACAGGTTGGAGGGAAGGGCTGACTCATCTGTTAACTCTGTTTCAAGTGGAAGAAATAAGGTTTAAAGCTTAAACAGGGACACGCTCCAGTTTTGGTTTAACTGAAACTTGGAAAAATCATTGCCCCAAATGCATTTCTGTGGATGCAGATCCTATTGCAATGCAGTACTGGACCATGAACAATTGGTGTCTGGGGTAGGATCTGCTCCCTGGTGTGCTGAAACCCCCTCAGTGCTCTGGTGTCCATTCACCCTGGTGTGATGGGCAGAACCTGGCTCTCATTCCCAGAGGACTGACCCCGTGTGGACCTGCAGGACGAGGCCTTGAGCCCCCAGTGGTGCTGGAGCTGTGGGCAGGGCGAGGCTGAGGCAGTGACTTGGCTTTGGAGAGCAGAGCAGGGACCCCAGGGAGCATGGACCTGACTCCAGCAGTGTGTAGGGATGGGGAGAGGCACTGAGGTGACACCCTGATGGCTTCTCTGGTGTGCTTGTCCTCAGCACTCCTCAAGTGCCTCTGGAAGCACTGCCCTGTGCACTGCCACGCTGAGGACACTTCTCAAGGGTGACTCTGCAGTTGTTGGAGCCCAGCTCTTCCCTTTGGGGGGAACCAGGGCTGCTGCTGTCCCTGAGCCAGACTGGGACAGCAGGAGTGGTGCTTTCCATAGCCAAGGCAGCCCTACTGGTAGAAAGATGTGACAGGAACGATTATTGTGTCCTGTATGATCATAGGAGCTGTTCCCCAAAGAGGATATGGATAGGGACAAAAGCTCTGAGCTGGTGTCCTCTCCCATGCCCTCCTGCAATTATCCACATCTCTTAGCAAAGTTTTTTCCCCGGTGGTACAGTGAGTTCCCTGTTCAATGCAGATTCTGGAGAAGCCCTTCACTGAGAGAATGGGGCTGAGGATGAGACATCCTTCCCCCTTTATTCTCCCCTGTGGTTGTGTTTCCTTTTTGCTGCCCCTCCCCACCCTCTCAGCAGGGCTGGAGCCAGTGGAAAGGCTGTGGGGGTTTGGCTGTGCTGCCTTGCTGACAGGGGGTGAGCAGGGCAGGGCACTGCTGTGTGGTCCCTGCATGTGGCAGGAGGATTTAGGAGCGGTGAGTTCAGGGCTGGGAACGTATCCGTACCTGCCACGTGGCTCCTCTCCCACCGGTGAGTCTGCTGAATGAAATGCATTCAATTAGCAGCCCAGGAGGGCTGAGGAAACAGGATTAGTCAGGCTCTGGCTGTGTCCCAGGGGCCAGTGAGTCACCGCACCTTTCCCTTCTCCCCACCCTGCAGCCTCCGTCCGTGTGCTCCATCACGGCTCAGGTTTTCTCCTGGGCAGGTTTAGCTGTGCAGACTTTGGGTGGAGAGGGGTGTCCAGGGCAGGATGTCACCAGCTGGGCCCCAGGGAGCTCAGCTCCAGGGGTGGCTTGGCAGAGCTGTGACTGGGGGAAGGCAGGAGTTTATTTTGCTGCCTGTGGGGACACAAGGAGGTGGAGAGAGGAATAGAGGTAACTGAATCCTGCCACGACCAGCCAAGGATGGCTTTGTCACTAGGAGGGAAAGTAGGAGTAAAAGTAACTGGACCATCTGCCCTTCTGTGAGAGTTTATCAAGAGCAGAGCTGTGACATGTGGCTTCACTTGCACCTCTGAGGACAATGAGGGGAAGAGGAGGGGCTGGAGAGTGAACCCATCTGTCGCCCTGCTGTCTGACAAGGCAGCTCACAAACACATGGGAGAAGTGCTGGCAAAATGAGCAGAGGAAATTTGTCTCCTCAAGCATAGCAGGCTGTTGATCTGAAAAAACCAGATTGAATAGTTTTTCTACCACCCTTTGGTTTTGTGGGTGTTTTTCCCCTGTTTTTTCAGCTGGATTTCCCTTTGATTTCTCTCAAGATAGAAAGTGGGCTGTGTATGGGAAGCAGGACTGCTGGGAAATGAGCTGCCTTATCTCTGCCCTTCTCACGGCGCCTCTCGGGCAGCACTCAGGGCTCTCCATCCCTGCACGAGGAGCTGGGCCCTTCCCTACTTTGCAATTCCCTTTATTCAGGCTCTGCTCTTGGTAACCAAGGCACTGAGACAGGAGATCACATAATAAACACAAAGAGCAGAGGGACAAAGGGGTAAAGCTGAACACAAACCAGAATGTCAATGGACTCTCTGACTGAATAAAGCCAGCTCTGAAAAAGTTGGAAAAGGGATAGGATGTTTGGAGGAGGTGACACCAAGGTGCACAGAGACTGTGTAGCTCCTGGAAGGCCTTGCCTTAACGTCCAGGTAGAGTGACACCTCTAAAGGCATTTGATCCTCCTAAGGACAGGCTTTTGTTCACCTTGCCCTGTGCCTTGGGGTGATTTTGGGAAGCTGACAAAAGTTCTATGCTGGCTGTGTCCTTTGCTAGTTTGCTTCCTGTCTGTGCCTTTCTTCCTGGCCTCTCCATACACACACAGGTGTCCATATCCTTGTCTTCTCAGGGAGTATTTGTCAACTTTTATGGATGTACATGGAAAGGGAAGGACCCCACAGCCAGTATTTAAACATTTGGACTAGGAAACCCCTTCAGGACAGGCAGGAGAAACATGAGGGAATGAAACCATGAGCCTTTGCAGGGTAGTGGGAAGGGGAACAGGCTTCTCCTGGGACACTGGCTGACTGGAAGCTTTCTCCATGGTGATGGGACCAGTCTCTCCAGTACGGCTTTCCACCTCACACAGATGAGATCTACAGGACTGCAAGCTGGGAAGGTGCCTGTGTTGTGCTCAGTGTTGGACTGGTGTGTTGACTTCAGCGTGATGAGATCTGGGGAAGGTCTGCCCCACAAAACCCTCCCTGCGTGCTGCACCCCTTGGTGCTGGGGTGGCCTCCCTTCTTGCTTAGCCCACTTGCCCCTGTGGTTTTCAGCACATGGCTTGGCCACACCGTTCAGACCGACTCACTTCAGATGGGAACAGACTCGTTCGACCATAAACACCTTTACTGTGTAAGCGAGATAATATCTTCAATGCTGCTCTCTGCCAGAGCCCCGATAACTCAGGCTGTTTTCACCTCTCATCCTTTCCTTATGGCTGGCACTAGAGGAAGAAACACCCACCCAGTCATTACCACCTCCTTTCCCAGAAAAGTGTGCCAGTTCTTCCCTTCCCTGCCTCATGGGAGAAAGGTAACACAATAGCTTCCCTTGTCCCGAGGGCAAGTCTGGCTGGCACAGCACACATCCTCCTCGACCTTCGCTCCATCCGAGCCCTTCAGGGAGAGTTCTGACCAAAGAGCAAAGCAGCTCCATGAAAAACAGCAGGTGAAAATTCCTGGCAGTTTAAACGGAGCAAAGACTTTTTGAGCCATAAAGCTTGAAAGTTCTGCAGGTGTCTGGCTTCGTTGGCTGGGGAAACGGAGGCGGAAAATCCACAAGATAATCTCAGTCACGGTCTGGATGTGCTGGTTTGGACAGAGCCTGGAGGAAAATACAGAGAGACCCTGTCCTGAGGCTTGTCCAATGACTCAGAAGGCAACGTGCTGGATCTGATGGTGTCAGAGGTGCTGGTGTTGCACACCTGACTGCTTTGATCCCAGAGGTGAGCGAATGGCTGTGTGCTCTCTAAGGGTGTAGGCTGAAATATTGACTGTACTTGAGTGCACTTACAAGTGTGATGTGATGCCTTAGGGACACCTGTGTGTGTGTGTGGCTTAGGACATCCTGTGCAGGTGACCAGTTTTGCTTTGGAGCTGAGTAAGGGTGAAATTCTGTTCTCAGCATATCGTGGGTGGCTGGTGCTGTGAAACCCTAAGTGTGGTATAACAAATTCCTTTGGACTGTTTGATCTTTTTAATTCTTTAAATTAAATCCATCTACAGTAACCAGTCCCTCCATGTCTGACAAAGTGCTGAACAATGCCTGCGTGGTCCCTGTGGAGCCCAGCACAGGCTGTTGGTGTAATCCCTGCTTTGAGCTGATCTCTGCTGTCTTTTCTCTACTTTATAATGAGCAGAGTTACTTCCTAACCTCCGACTGTTAAAGCTGCATATACAACACACAGACATTTAATTTTCCCTCTTTTAACTTAGTGTAAAGCATTTGTTATTTTTGAGGAAGCTGCATAAGCAACTCTGCTTCCCCTGAGCTGCTTTCTCACAGCTTCTCTCTCCACAGATTGTGATTTTTAGTCCTGCTTAAAACCCTCTGCCGGGGGTTCCCCAATGGCCGTGCAGACTGTGAGGCACAAGAGCAGCATGAAGAACTAGCACTGTGAAAATCTGTTCATTGGCATGAAAAACCACAAAGCTGGTGTTAGCAGCAGCACTTTTGAGAATTCTTTGGAGTCCCTTGAAGCAGTGTGATTATTATGTGTCTTATTTTGCTTGAAATATTTGGGATTAGCATCAAAATGAGCCAACTCTTGAAGTGTTTTGGTTGCCAAACAATACAGCCCACTGGAGGCAGATGGGGCTGGACTGAAAAGCCAAGCAACAGGGCTAGGTGAGACTTCTGTCCCCGAGATCTCTTTGCTCTGTGCTTCTAGAATATCAGCACAGCCAGCAAAGTACACAGATTACTTACAAAAAAAAAAAAAAAAAAAAAAGACATTGTGGTTCAAAGGTTCAAGCTTGAATGAAGAAGCTCTGTGTTGACAAGCTGCTTAGGAACCCTGGTTGGGCCAAGAGATGAGGAATGGTTGGGCAGTGTTGATAGAGGTTTTACTCTTGTAGGGTGAATATTCCCCCCGGAAATCCTCTTTCTGTCCTTTCCTCTCTCTTCCATTCATCCTCTTTGGGGGCCCAGTGCTGGCAGAGTCCTCCTGTGCAAGGTGAAAAATGGCAGCACACAGAATCTCATAGGCTGGGAGCAGTGCAGGAACAGAGTAATGGAAAAGACAGGCACCTGCATTTTGGAGGTGGAAGTCTGTAGTCCATAGGCATCTCCTAGACTTGCCTGAAGCTGCTGCTCCCCCATCAAATCACCGATGCAGAGGCTTTCTGGATCACCCTTCAGAGTGCCCTAGTGAACAGCCACAGTCACCGGCAGCGAGCGTGGGGAAAAGTCCTCCTGAAACTGCGTCTGCTGGGTGGATTCTGACGCCAGCTTCAGGCACACACTGGCCTCTGTCATGCTGTTGTTGTTGGCAGAGCTGCTGTTGCGACAGGGCTCTTTGGCGGGGCGGATGGCCACCAGGAACTGGCGCTTGAAGGTCTCGCTGAGGGCGATGTAGAGGAAGGGGTTGAGGCAGCTGTTGGCGTAGCCCAAGCTGATGGCGAAGTTGTAGGCGTAAAGGAAGGCCATGGATGGGGTGTCGATGCCCAGGTGAACCAGCTGGAGGATGTAGAAGGGAGCCCAGCAAATAAAAAAGGCGGAACAGATGGCCACTGCCATTCGGGTGACCTTCTTGGTGCGCACCCGGAGGCTCCTCTGGGGCAGCGGCACCACGGTGGTGGCCATGTGCTGGAGGATCTTGAAGTAGACCACGCAGATGATGACCAAGGGCACAGCAAAGGCCAGCATGAACTGGTAGAGGGTGAACCAGTAGATGTCGGTCTCTGGGTTGGGCAGCAGGAGGGCGCAGCGCACGGTCCCGTCCTCCAGGGGCATGAGGCCCGCGTACATCCACACGGGAATGATGGTCAGGAAGGACAGGAGCCACACCAGGCAGATGACGAGAGCCGCGACGCACGGCGTCCGCACGGAGGTGGACTTGAGGGGGTAGACGGTGGCCAGGTATCGGTCCAGCGTCATCACTGTGAGGATGTTGGTGCTGGTGATCTGGCTGTTCGTGTCCAGGGCGGTGATGATGGTGCACAGGGGAGCTCCAAAGTACCATGAGCCGTTGCCTAAGAGCTGGTGGATGAGGAAGGGCATGCCCAGGAGGAAGAGGAGGTCCACGATGGAGAGGTTGAAGATGAAAATATCAGGCACGGTCTGCTTGCACCTCAGCTTCTTCTTCTTGACGATAGTGAAGATCACAATGAGGTTCCCCATGATGCCCAGGAAGCAGATGATGCTGAAGAGACTGGGCATGATCACGTTGGTGTGTGGTGCTGGCTTCTCTGCTACTGCCAAAACAAACCAAAGCAGTGAGTGCAACCCAGAGACAACCTCTTTCCAATCCGGTGTGCTTGCCCTGTCCTGCAAATGGACCCATCCCCATCAAAACCATAGATTGGAATGATTTTTAATACCCTTTCCAGCACTTGGAGAGGCTAGGCTGGGGATTTGGCACTTCCTTCTCTGCCTCTCAGTATGTGCAGCATGTCCAGACCTGGCTATGTGCAGGCATCTTTCCTCAGCTCTCCTGATGTGCTTCTGTCCTGTTCTGCAACTCCCCAGCCCTTTTTAGAGGGATTAACCTCTGGCTGGTATGCCTCTGCATCCACCAGCACCTGACAGAGTTGAGAATAACTTTTATTCCATGAAGTGGTTTTAGCTGTTTTTGAGGGGAGTGGGTGAGGCAGCTTGTGCTTCCCACACTGGAGAAGTAAAGCCTTTCTGTGGGTGCCAAAATCTGGATAAACTCAATGCTCAAGCTGCTGTCAGAAAGCTTCAGTTTATCTGTTGTATGGTATGAGACACAGAGTTCATTGGCCATGCAGGCAGACACCTCATGCTTATCTGTATTGTGAGATCTGGGACTGTACCCTGGCTGTGCCCCTGTTCTCTTACCAAGGTTAGGCCAGAGAACATTCTTCTTTCCGTCTTCCTTCCCTGACTCTCTCCCTTTCTCTTGTGTCTTTCCTACAAAGAAATCCAAGTATGTAGCCAGACAAGGGTTGGGAGTATGTTTCAGAGGGGCCCTTCCACAGGGATTGTCTAGGAGAAAAACAGCTTAAAGCTGTCTTTGAGTTCTGGATGTGGATGGATTTCCAAGGCAAAATTCTTGCCTGATAATACTCAGCTTATCCACACCAATGCTTGACTGTTGCTCTTTGGGGTGGGACCCCCAAACATAATCAAATTTGCATTGGCCTTGTCCCTCACCTGGGTGTAAAATCACATTTTGAAGCCACAAGCTCTTGGTGGTGTCGAAGGCAGTGATGGTGGTGCTCTCTGTTCTGCAGGGTTCCTGTGTGCTGAAGTCTAAAACAGCCTTTCTTAGCTGAAATCTCCTTTAATATCGTTATTCCTTTCCTATGAGACCTGGTGGGTTTTTTTTTTCTAGGAAATGGTTTTGTGTGAGTTATTTATGTTACAAGGACTGTGCGTGACAGCCCCTCAGCTAGGCTGCCTTTCATTGAATTGCAGATGATTCAATGTGCTGTTAATTGGAAATGCTTTCAGTCACTGAGCTGTTCCATCTCCTTAGCAGCAGAAGTGGGGAAGCCTCCTCCAAGAGAACCTAGGGAAATCTTGACAATTAGATTAAGTGGAATAAGATACTCCAGGTGTAGTCTTTGCCAAAGCGGTGTCTGTTTGCTGAAGTGGTATTTGCTGACTTTGACCTCTGGAATTCTTGAGTACAAACTTCTCCACATTTGCTTTGGTGTGACAGAGAAGTTTGACAGAATTAGCAAGATAACTGAGGCTACACTGCTGGCCTGTGGCTGGAAATGTGTGTGCCATAGATCAGTGCTCTTAGAAGTGGCCATGAGGAGCTGCCACTGGCTCAGTCCTTTTGGCATTAGGCAGCAGTGAGCTTAGGCATGAACGAGGCTAATGCCAGAACCCAATAAAGCAGTTCCTGCACCATTTTATTGGTAAGCCTCTCTGCAGGTGCTGTAAAGCAGCCAGTGAGGCACAGGAGAACTAGCAGGGGCCTGAAGGTGGAAGCCAGGCTTGGCTGATAAGACAAAAAAGCCTTGTCCAGACTATTTGTGGGGGTTTAAGTGGTCCCTGTTCCTCCTGGTGGCCCATTAATGCAAAGAAATGTCCCCTGCTATGAGATTTTTAGTAGACAACCTACAGCCATCAGCACCCTCTTGAAATCTGGCACCCTTGGGCATCCAAAGATATCTCAAGCCTCCTTACTGCTGGAAGATGGAGGACTAGAAACTGGAAGATGATGATTCTGGTCCTGCACTTCTGCATGGAACTGTTATGAATTCTGATCTCCTTTCTTTTAACCACAAACTCTGTGAATGTGGTTGGAAAGGATTGTTGGAGCGAAACATAAATGCCACATGGTTAGCTGGAAATTGGGACAAAATGTCCCTTTCCTGCTGTATAATCGATCCAGTGCTCATGGCAATCCCATAACATTTGGAATGAGCTCAGCCAGCCCCAAAGCAGGATGTGTGCAGGCCCAAAGGCTTTGTGTGAGAGGTGGGCTGTGCAGTGCTGTAGCACCTGTCCTGCTGATGCTGTCTGTACAAGCAAGACTTGCATGAATTATTAGCTGCACTAATTTGAAGCTGTAGTTCATGTGTATTTTATAGGCTGGAGTCAGAAGAGCACATATATCAAATACTCAAAAGTTCTGTCTTTTCTAAAGACTCTTTCATCTTGAGACATCATTGAATCTGAATTTTTAGTACTGCTTTTGTGCATAACCAAGTGAATATATTTTGTATTTAAGCAGCTACTTCAGGCATTGATTTGTCCTTGTTTGTAGGTCTGTGGCTGCCCTGACATTTTTTCTTAAAGTCCCAAAGGGGCTGTACTATGTGAACTGAATGAGGACCGGGCTAATTTTTTTTTTCTCTGAGGTGCTTGTCGTTCTAAGCCATACCCTGATATGTAAGAGACTTCACCTTCACTGCATTTCAGAAGGAAACCACGCTTTCAGAAAACCATGGTTTCAGAAAACCACACTTTCAGAAAACTACACTTTTAGAAAACCACGCTTTCAGAAAACCACACTTTTGGTTTCTAAAGGACTGTGCTGGCACAGAAAGAGTCAAAAACCACGTATAAACCACCTTCTGTTGAAGAGCTGAACCACTGAGAACTGTATTGCACGACCCTAAACTATTGATTTGAAAACAGGGTCGTGTGGAAAAAAGGATAAGGATCTCTACATCCCTCTCCAGCGCTATCTCATCTTTTCTGTGCCTCCCTCCCTGTCTAGCCGGGCTGGTTCCTCCCTCCCCAGCAGCCAGGACCTGCGGGCTGCTGGAGTTTGCTGCCTGGCAGCCAGCAGGTAGCGGCTGGCAGCCGAAGGGCCGGTGTCCCGGGGCGGTGCCCGCTGCGGTGCCCGGTGCGGTGCCCGGTGCGGTGCCCTGTGCGGTGTCCCGGGGCTGTGTCCCGGGGCTGTGTCCCGGTGCGGTGCCCGGTGCGGTGCCCGGTGCGGTGTCCCGGGGCTGTGTCCCGGTGCGGTGTCCCGGGGCTGTGTCCCGGTGCGGTGCCCGGTGCGGTGCCCGGTGCGGTGCCCGGGGCTGTGCCCGCAGGGTCCCGCAGCCCCGCTCCCGGCCCGTGCCCCCGGCGCTGTCCGCCCTCGGGTGCTGAAGGCGGCCCGGCCCGGGGGTCCCAGCCCCGTCACCCGCAGCCCCCCCGAGCCCCGGCCCCCCTTACCTGAGCCGTTCCGAGCCTCCGGCACCGAGAAGTTGCGGGAGGAGTTGCCGGGAGCCATGGCAGCGAGCGATGGAGAAAGTTGGGCAAGTTCCCCCGGCGGCTCCGCGGGGGGATGCGCCGCTCCCCCAGCGGGAAAAGAGGAGGAGGAGGAGGAAGGAGCCCTCCCAGAGGCGGCAGCCGCGGCTGAGGCTCGGCTGCGCTCGGTTCCGCTGCCGCCCCGCCGAGCCCGGGCGGGCTCTGACATCCAGCAGCAGCTGACTCGGGCAGGCGAGCCGGGGGCGAGCATCCGAGCATCCCCCGGCGCCGCCGCGGGCAGGGAGGGCGGGGGCGACACGGGGGCTGGGCAGTGCCCCTTCACATCACACCCCAGGGATGGCTGGCATCTGTGCCCTCCCGGCCGCAGCCAGCCTGCGCTCGCCGGCGTCAGGAGGAGTATCAATTTTTTTTTTTTTTTTTTTTTTGGTCTTTTTTTTTTTCTTTTTCTTTTAAGTAGCTCTGTTCCGCCTTCAGTGTGTCTTTTTCTCTTTACAGACACACGAACTTTTCATCCCCGAGCCATAGGCACAGCCCCAGTGGGGCTGAAGGATGTTAAGGAAGCAAACTACCCACTGAAAACTGTTGCTTTCACCCTCCAACGCCTCTAACTCCAATTCTAACCTGAGATACTTCACTTGTAATTAATTCTCTGCTGTTTTCTGCTGTTCTGCTTCTTGCCGCAGCTCATTTGCTTCCTAGCTCAAGAAATTAGCTCTGTTGCTAGCTCAGATTTTATTCGTCTTCTATTTGCCTTAAAAATACTAGGCAAGGTCTCCCTTGGGTTTTGAGGAGCTGTTTTACTCCTTTTCCTTGCCTTGCCAGAGCTGTAGCCTGTGCTTTTCTGTGGCTTTGAGCTGATGATTGTCTTGTGCTCCCGGCTGCTGTTTATACATGAGATGGATTCCTGCATTACGATTTGATAAATCACACGTTACCAAGGCAAACAGATCGTTCTGTACCTCGGAGCACTTCCTGGACTGAAAAAAAAAAATGATATCATGTCAGAAGCCTGTGAGAAATCCAGCAGCAACAGGCAGGGTTTTCTCGGTGGCAGAGCACCTTGCAGTGGATATGGTTTGCTTTATAAAAATGACATATGTCTGTCTGGAAATCTCCCCTGCTTCTGTCTCTTTCTTTCTGTCATGGCATCAACTGCAGAAGACATTTTGTGGAACTTCATAATTCTGAGGGAATCAATCTGTACCTGTAAAAGGGAGGCCCAGCACACACAGAGCAGCAATCCCAGCATGGCCTGCCAGCCAGATTTGGCAGCAGCAGTCCCAGTATGGGCCATTTTTGTGTAACCCAAAGGAGTTCATCATTATTAGGTTGTCCTCTAGTGGGCCAGCAGCAGACAGAAACCTGGTGCACATTTTGCCCTGGCATTGAAGCTCTTAGAAATCAGAGACAGGCTGAGGCCAAATTGAGTCTCTGGAGTTGCTTCAGTCAGTGATTTGCCTGTGAGGTTTTTTCCATGGCAGGTATCTGTGGTATCTAAATTTTGAACATATACACCTTGTTGAAAGGTGATGTTTCTCAGTTAATATTTTCTTTAAAAACTGTTTCCTTCACATCTTGGATAAACATAAATGATCATCTGTCTGTGGTTACTGCTGCAAAGCAAGCAGTGGTTTGTGTGTGAGTGTTGGAGTGTTGTGAACAGGGTGATGTCCTCTGGAGAGTGCCTTCAGATAATTTAATTTTTTCCAGGCTTGAAGTATGGTTTAGGAGTGTTTGCATAGGAAACTGGTAGGCAGTTGCTATTGCAAACATTTTCCCTCCACAGACAGACTCCTACTCACTTTCCCTGAAGAGGAATGTGGTATCTTATAGCTTTCAAAGAAAGAATCTGACATTTAAATATAGCAGTTGTTCCAAAGCACAACTTTAATTTTATTTTGCAATCTCAGCTATTGCTGTTCACTTAGAAAAGCCTCACACATAAGGAAGGTGTAATTCCCTCTTCTCAGCTGTAGAGGCATAAAAACCCACAGCAGCTCTGTCCCTGCTATGACAAAGTCATGCTCAGCACCTGAGATCTGCCTCACCACCATTTCTGTGTCACTGTTTCATTACTGGGCTCCTATATTCAGGCTTTGACAACGTTTGTTTTTCCCTTTTTTGCTTTGTCAATAATCTGGAAGTTCTTGCCCCTGGGAGGGACTGGTTGTGCAGAGTTTTGCCGAGTTTGAAGGGGTAGAGAGAAGGGAGGAATTTGAGCTGCAGCAACTGGTGATGCTCAGCCTGTCTGTGCACAGAGCTCACCGTCGGCAGCAGGAGCAGGCACAGTAATCGGCTCATTATCTGCCTGAACACTTGGAGACAGCAGCTCTCTGAAGGACTGGTTCTGTGAGTGTTCATCTACTGGAAACTGCAGCAGGGATGAGCTCTCAGGGGACCTTGGGATACAGCCGATGAGTTGCGCTAACCACTGCATGTAATTACAAGGAAGATTGAGGCACTAACCCCTTGAAAACACCTCTTAAGAGAGAGATATAGTAATTAACATTTAGACAGGGAACTGCCATCTTGACAGCCTAATGATGTAGATAAAAGTGAGGAAATGGAGCTCAGCCCTTGAACATAAAAGAAAGAAAAATTACTTCTTCCTACAAACTTGGCATCACCACTACACTTAGACCATCCTGTCTGCAACGTCGCTGTTATGAAGAAAGATAGTAATCATCCAAAGCTGCTGCTAGGCAAATTCTGCAACCAGGGAATGAATCTGGCTGGTCTAACAGCGGTTTAACCCTGAAAGGCTCTTGCATTTCAGTAATGAGTTATATTTCCTGTGCCTGTCCCAGCTGGAGATCCTGACTTACGCAACGCGGGTGGAACCGCAGCATCCCGTGGGGCAGAGAGCAGCACTGGCTTCTGTTACCATGCTACTGAAACCATTTCCCCAGCTGGTTTCACCAAATAATTTCTCATTAAATGGCAGACTTTCTCATTTGCTAAATATTTATTTAGCACCTGGCTGCTGCTCTGATTTGCACTCTGGAGAGAGAAGCCTTTGCTAAGAGCCAAGTTGCAAATCCTCCCCTTGAACTCACTGCTCTCCTTACTCACGACTCCAGACTTACTGAATGGGTCTCTGCATTTTTATTGCTTAGCTCTTTGACTGTGATTACATTGATCAAGTAGCCTAGTGGTGAAGTTTTTCTCTTGCAGTGGCCTTAGGGATAGGGATGATCTCACTCAGGATGTGTTAGACATGGTGCATCAGCCCTCCATGCTGCCTGAGTGCTGTCTTTGTCTGATAGCTGCACATCAGTCTCCCTTCTTTCCAGGCAAGATTGGTAAAGCAGTTTCCAACTGCTGTTCCATTTTATCTCCTTTGATTCTGGAAAGTGGGTCTTTGCCACATAACATTTTCCTTCCCTGTAGATAAGAAGTGATAGCAAACTTAAACAATTTCCCTAAAGCCACACGCTGAGCTTGAGGTCAAAAATTTACAGCAATTCTCTCTACAACAGCCCTGGTTTAGGCAGCATCTTATCCATCCTCCTGCAATGTCTATCTCAGCACAACTTTTGTATCTCCACAGAGGGATGTGTACTGAATGTAATGATCTGATTAAAAAACTAAACGCAGAAAACGCAAATGTTTGGAGGAGTAGGTTTGTGAAGGCAGTTTGGTGGTGACTCACATGCTGCTGTCATTGATCCAGATGTGCACAGCTGTATGTATGGTCTGGCAGGTTGGACAGAAGCTGATGTTGCGTTGGTGCCTGACTTGATTCAGGTCAGTGCTAGTGTGTGATGCAGTTCTGCCCTGAGCTGCTATTAACGAACAAGGAGACTGAGCCCTGAGCAAATCCTGATTTCCCAACTCCCAGGCTCTGCCTTCCCTTAGACATGAGCATCTCTAATGAAAGCAGCAGGTGAATTCCCTTTCTCAGCTGCTCAATAGCCACATGTGGCTTTACAGGAATTCTTCAGCTAAATGGTCATCTAAGCTCCTCTGTTATCTGTGCTGGATTTCTAATTAATTAACACAAAGTGGGCATTTATCTGAAACCAGATGATGACCGCCTCTCTCCCTACTGGTTCCTGCCCTTGAAATGACAGGTCCAAGCTGCCTGGCTCATTCCAGTCCCACACTGCTAATTTGAGGTTTAAGCCCTCAGCCTTTGCCCATCCCACTGCTCTCAGCGAGCCAAAGGCCAGGGCAGCACCTTCTGTGGTTTTGTTTTCATTGCTAAAGGTCAGAGGATCCCAGAGACAAAGGCACAGCCAAAATTAACAAGGGGCTAAGCAGGACTTGCCCTGTGAGAGGCTGTCAGGCCGGGTCAGCCGATGAGCTGAGGTCAGGGATGTGCATGTGTGCTTGGTGAATTGGGCAGATCCCGGTGTCCTTGTCGGAGATAAGAAGCTGCCAGCACATCTTGACGTTGGACAGGAGCAGCCAGGAGCCCTCAGGGAGACAAATCCTGCCTCAGGGTATGTATTTGTTGTTAGTCACTGATTCCCCTTTACAAGAACAGGCATTAGCACAAGGAGAAGGCAGCTGTAACCTGAATTCCTCCTGAGTCTGAACTGAGGGGAAGAAAGTTTTAACTTGGATCTGTGGCTTGTGGATAACTGCTCATGGAGCTCAAGAGGAGACAGAACAGGAGGACTGATGTGGAGGGTTGATGATCAAGAATTGGTGTCTGCCCAACCCAAAATGAGTGCTATGCCATCCTTCTTTTCAATGAGAATTAGGATGTTGTTAAGCTTGGAAATGGAAATGGAAATGGAAATTACAGATCCAAGATGAAGCAAAAGGGAAAATCTTGAGAGGTTCAAGTCAGTGAAATGAGATAAACTCCATTCAAAGTCTGGAAAGAGCTGTCACATGAAATTGCAAATCCAAGTGTAAGGATTTATGACAGAGCTAATAAAAAAAAGCGGTGTTTTATAACCAGAGACTGCAATCCTGCTGCCTAGTCCTCAGAAGGGGTGGTGGGGTGGAAGAAAGCAGTAATGGTTGATTTTTTAAATCTACCTAAAATCCAGTAAAACATTTGATACAGCATGTCAGAGGAAATTTTTAGTTTGCAGAAGATGTGAACAAGCACAAAATCTGTAAAATTAATAAGGCATTAAATCCCAAGTGAGACCAAAGCCTTGTGTCAAGGGGGCTGTAAGCAGTGGTAGCATGGGATGGGAAACCCTCCTGACACAGACCTGCAGGCCCCTGCAGGAAAAGCTCTGCTCACCTCAGCAGCTGGGTTGCTGGAGCAGCCAGATGTTCCTTTCCTCTCCAATTCCCCCCAGGGAAACCAACCATATGTTCCCTGTGCCACTGCAGGGCACAGAGGCATCTGCTGGGGTTGGAGGCAGTGGCTCAGGGCAGTGGAAGAGGTGGGAACCTTTTAAAATGATAATGAAAAAGTAAAACGATGCTCACTTATGAAAACAATAATCAGCAAAGTGCTTTGCCTCTTGGGCTGTTAAACACAGAGCAGAGGCAGATGCTCCAGCAGCAGCAGCCAGCACTTGTTATCAGCTGGGAGTTCATTAGTTGGAAAGATGGGAGAGGAGCAAGATGTGCATCCAGTGTGAGCTCCCTGTTTAACATGGCTCAGAAAAAGGTAAATGTGGCTCTCAGAGGGACCTGCTGAGATGTTTCCCTGGCAGGAGTTACTGTTGTTGTGTAAACTGGGGGCAAGGCTTCCTCTGGAAACCTGTGCAGGTTCTTCATCTTTCATGTCCAGATCTGCACAGAAAGTTGAGCTGCAGAAGCACTGAGGGAGTAAGGACAGAGTTAGGGCACAGGGAGGTGACCAGGGTGATGCTGGGGATGAACAGGCCTGGTACCACATCCAGTTCTGCAGGTCA